GACCTATACCGAGGCTCTGATAGTCTAGGAGAAGCAGTAATGGTGACGTGGTGACAGAGCCAGCGGAGCCCGGTGGAGCTGGTGGATGATACAGGACTAAAACCATATGTGTGTACTGCCAGTGCCACACTGGTGGTGCAATAATGTGAGGTGTTACCTACATGAAAATTTCAGGTTCCACTGAATATAAATGTAAGGTGTTACCCTGTAGAAGTGTCAAGTGTCATCCTATATGTAGCAGACAGGTATCATCCTACTTTCAGCCACCTACCTGTATCGATGAAGGTGTCAGGTATCACCATATATTAATCTGCCAGGGGTTACTCTATCAAAATTTCAGGTGCCACCCTACATCAAGATATCAGGTGTCACCTTATTTTAGGTTGTCAGATGTTACCCAGCTGTCAACCTTTATATGGTGCCAGGTGTCAACCTACCGGTACATGAAGGTTTAATGTGTCTCCCTACATGCAGGTGGCACCCTAACCCTTTTACCTTAAGTTTACTCCTTACTGAAGGCAGCATTCCAGTGATATGTGAATCTAAGCAGCGTCCTAATTTTAATTAAATAGCAGTCATGACTTATTAAATATGTACACGCAATGTTTTAATGATATAAATTGGGTAAACAATGGCATCCTCTTTAGTACGTGTATAATAATGTAAATGGGCTGTACTTAAACAACCTATAAAGCTTGTAGACTTTTTAAAAAAATATATTAAATTTGGTTAGCTACTGCACCATATATAATTACAGGATCAGAGAGNTAAACTCCTGGCGACCGAAAAACCTACTTGTGGTATCCAACCGGTTGCTAACAGGTCGCCGACTGCTTTGCAACTGATTTGCAACCGAATGTGTGGTTTTCCCTTTGTCTTTTTAACCCTCGGCGTTTGCCACTTACAACACAACGTAATTAAATCGTGACAAGTCATGCGCATCGTGTACTTTTTACACTCTCATCCTTGTAGTGAGGATACCAAGCACTGGGAAGATGTTAAATTGTTTGTGTTGAAACTATTTTTATTTAAGTCTATTGGACACATTTTACGATTTGTTCAATTATTTGTGGTTGTACCTTGCTGATTAAATTGCTTTTATTTTCCGTTTTCTCTGCATTCGTGTATTTGTTTCATTGTTTACTCTGATAATATGGCTTTGCAAATTTTAAATAACATACAACGATATATAATAGAGGTTTTCGGCATTTTACCTATGATTTTCGCAAAATGATAAAATAAATAAACGTAGCGTCAAAAAAATCTTTCATTGCTTTTATCATCACCTTTTTTTTTTTTTTTTTGGTTTCGTAAGTGTGAAATACCTGGTATATGAAAGCCTTGGCAACTGGTTTAAAATATTGCCAACAAATGCAATTTATGTTTTCTTTTTCTAAAATATTATAATTTATTACCTTGATATTTAGAAGTCTTACATAACAAATTATGAAAAAAGTCTTTGCCCAAATAGACCACCATCCTACGCCTATTTTATTGCAGTCGCTTGCAACCTTCCTGCCACATATTTTCGAACGCCTGCGATTGGTAAAAAACCTCTTAGCGACCAAGATACTAAAGACAGCCAATCGACCATGCAGTTACAACTGCAACCTTCTAACGACCTGCTGCCGACTACTTGCGACTGGTAAAAAACTTGTAAACGACCAATCGACTAAATACGGTCAATCGACCGTGCAGTTGCAAATGGTATGCTACTGGTTATAGCAACCTACTGACAACCAAGAAGAGACCGATAGGCAACCTTTAGGATACCGATAATTTTCATCTTTAGTCTCACTGGTTGTCGGTCCACAAAAAATCGCCTTCATGTGTCAACAATCGCAGGCGACCTGTTAGCAACCTTATGCAACCACTTAAAAACCTATGGCAACCTCCTTGCGACTGACGTTGCAGTGGGGCCAGGCTTTAGCCGCCCCTATTTCACTAACGGATTGTGTTACTTGCACACAATTAATGCATGTTTGCTCACTGTGTTACTGTGTGTCAGTATAGCTTGACACTGTGTTACTGTGGGTCACTATAGCTTGACACTGTGTTACTGTGTGTCAGTATAGCTTGACACTGTGTTACTGTGGGTCAGTATAGCTTGACACTGTGTTACTGTGGGTCAGTATAGCTTGATTACTCATTGTAGCATAAGATGTTATCCCCTGTGTAAACAGACTGTGACCACAGAGGTGTCAGCTTTAATACCCCATAACTATCACTGTTAGCTAGAAAGTTACTCTTTGTGCGGGGTGTCTCGATGGCCGAATTAAGGTTCATTGGTCCGAAGGTTCATTGGCTCGAAAAACGGTAACATTTTCATCGGTTTTTGTTAATCAAGGGTTCATTGGTCCGAAGGTTCTATGGCTAACATTCGGACCAATGAACCTTCGGACTATTGCTACGGCCCCACTTTTGGTAACAAGAGGTAACAAACAGATAACAATATGGAGAGTTCTTTCTGAGCCCAACTGTATACGGGTACCCTCTACCAGGGCGACTGATTGATTTCTTCACAAGATATATTCACAGATATCTCTGTAGATAAATAGACGATCACTAGGGCACTTAGTAGATTCAGCAAAAAATGTCCACAATAACTGCGACAATGGTAGAGGGTAGTATACCGGTGGATTGACATGTTTGCTTCCATTTACTATTTTCATCTAATAATATGATGCATAGGATTAACGTGAGAGAAAGGACGTTACGTAGAAGGGATGTCAAACAAATGCAGTTAAAATATTTTTGAAGTGAACACTGTAGGCGTTCCCACTCAGTTTAAAGTAATCGTATATAGCCCTCATCCACAAGGAAATGGAACCCTACGTAAACCCTGAAACCGGGCCTCAGAGGCCCGGTGTACCATGAAAATCTGACTCCCATCAAAAAACATTCAAAAATCTAATTTAATTTGAGTAAATGACTATGATCTTGTAGTATGCATAATGGAGGACACATTGGCACTTTTTGTTAGTTTGCAGGTGAAAATTTTCATGAAAAAATAAAAAAATTAAAGATTTGTATTTTACCACCCAAGGACTCCCCTATGAAAAAGCTATTTATTTGACATTTGATAACCATTTCAACATCTTTTCTTTGAGGATACTTTATGAGGAATATATTGAAAGTACTTGAAAGTTTAATGGTTAAAAAATTGGGTGAAAAAAA